ATATGGTCACACATTGTACGAGTTGGCTGGATCAACGCAGTGTTTTGTACTCTGATAAAACTCGCTCTTTAAACAATGGCAGCGCGCGTTATATCTGATCTTTATCAGAAACACGTTAATGACGAAGCGTGGGGTCAAGATAGCTGGATATTGGCCGTCCCTATCTTTAGGGACCAAGATGAAGTTGAGGTCCCTAAAAACGCAAAAAAAAGAAAAAAAAAGAAAAGGGCGAGCCAACTAAATGAGTTTCGTTCTTCCGTAACACAGGAAAACCTACAGATTAACATAGAATCGTTCGTAGTTGAAATGTCTCACCTGACTGCTCTGATACATAAACCCTCCTCGAGTTACAAGATCTTTAGGATGCTGGACGTGATCAGAATCACTCAGCTGACATGTAACTTGGTCTTTTATTGGAGGACCTATGTTGTACGACACGCAGTTGTCGTCCAAAGTGCATTGCCCTCTACAAGAACAACGCATTCCCAATCGTAAGGTTATGTTCTTAATGACATGATTAACAAGTGCTTTGTTATAAAATGGGGAGCCAAACTTTAGTCTCCGGCAATGATCTAGGAAACAAAGATTAAACGTCAGCATTTTCTTGGCTCAATATCCTTAGCCTTATCAGTAGTCATTTTATTGGTCGGAAAAGTCTCGTCAGTTTTAAACTGATAACACTACTAGCCATTTACATACAAGTCGTGCTCTCATGAGTTTCCTCGGTGTTTGCTTGTTTCAAGCTTAGTACTTATTGGCTCTCTGAATAAACGCATCTTTCGATTCTTTTTTATGACTTGTTGTTTTGATATTATCAATTTTAATTTAACCATAACCCATTTTCATAAACGATGGGCCTATGGCTATTTCTTGATGTTTATGTAAATTGGCCTCTCTAGTCTCGATAAACTGTTTCAGAACAATAGAACTTTCATTCAAAAGCAAGCCAATAGGTCTGATTTGCATGTGCCGTTTAGAAATAATAATCATATCTCCCATTATAAAAGAGCTCTATGCTCGCTCGGATAACGGTCAAGAACTGTTCGATATTTGGAAATTAATGGTCTCAACACTCAACATTCCTATCAGGACATCATTAAATGGAAGAACTTGTTAACTTTTTAATCTAGTTAAATTACAGCTTTATTGATGAAAATGGCAAAAGAGTTGCCAAGTGAACACAATCTGTATAAAGAACAAAAATAGAGAGCGAAACAAAAGTAACGTAATTATCTCTTCTTATAGTAACAGTGAAGATAAAAAGTAAGGCTATTATAATTAAAAGATGACTTTTCGGCAACGACATGTCACCATAAGCAAATGCCAATGAGAAGAGATTCCGAAGATATCTATAGACAACGATGATGTGAAAGACAACATTAGAATTTGGATTCAAAAGAATGGCATAGTAAGTGAACTATTTTGCTGGAATGGAGTCTGTTTGAGTGTTCAAACTAGTTTTTTATTTTATTATTTTATTTCTTTCAATAAGCAACAACTCATAAATAGGGCACTCGAGTGTTTTACGGCATTTCCTAAAGATCTTAAATTTTCATAAAGAATACTTGGCCCTTGTCGGTGTTTGCTAATGACGGAGTAAATGGATGGTAGCCTATCTGTAACTCTCATGACACGAATTACATTTACATTGTAAACAAGGTATCCAAGGTTAACTAAGAGAGTCTTTGTTTCCATTGCTTCCAGATCTTCCGACCTTTTAAAGCTTTTTTGAGATTGCTTCACTACTGGACCGATTTTCGTATTAAGGTTACGTAATGGAGTAATTGAATTCAACGAGCGAATGCTCTGCACTTAACTATTTTATTACCTTTTAGCGTAAAAGTCGTTCTCCAAAACATCACGGGCACAAACAACAAGAAGTGCAAGAGTTTCTTTGAAAACATTTGTTCCAGATCGCCCTTGCCAAAATAATGCAGCCGTGAACGAACTAATTTTTTGAGTGGTGCCTCGACGAAGAAATTAGACTATTGGATAATTTACACCTGTTTTATCGAAAGAAAAACAAGTTACAAAAATCTTTCATGAACAGAACTCATTTATAAAATGGAGAAGCCAAATGCTGACTCTAAATCGATTTTAAAGATATGTGCCCTATTGTTAATCGTTTAAAAGATTTTACGCCTTACCTTGAAGAGACAGAGTGGTTCTGTAAACAAATTCTTGTAACACATTCAAACAACTCGTTATCCTCGCTCGTAGGTCCTACAAGAGTGGTATGTTATGCAAATATCCAGGTGGCAACAATACAACCCTGGCTTTTTCAATTAACCCCGAGCGATTATTTTCAAGAAGGGAGGAGATGCCAGGCCTTCAAGGTATCATCGCAATTTGAAGATTTCATCGTAAGAGCTTATCATCATTATGTTTCCATGTGCTGTGAAGTAGGACTGGAAGTAAGGTTTTTTCCATGCTCTCTTCAATTAGTGAGCTGAGAACGAATGGCTGGACGGTGGTTGAGTGTCTGAAGCAGCTGAGTTCGGAAGGGCTGCAATAGACAATGCAAACACCTGCCGTTATGTTTTCACTTGAAGGCGGGCATCACCCACTTTTGAGTTAGCCTGTGCGTTCAAAGTGCATGAATATCAAGGCATATATCTATATTTATAGCTCGAAAAGATGATACGATAGTGCAATACCACTATACATTCAGTCTAGCATAGACCTGAATTTTACTGGTGAAGCTTTGTTATAAAGATTCGATCCGGAATTCCATTGGTTTATCAATATGTAGGTTGTAGGGCAGTTTTTAAAGTTTTCTTCTTAAATTTTCGATATACTAGAACTCGAAAGACAAATAACAAAACTTCCAAATTTGTGAAAACTTTTACAAGACATTGATGACTTCAATTTAAAGCTACTTGCAAAAATGAATATACCCGTAATTATCCACCTTTTTCACCGAGACTTAGGTATAAGTAACTTTTTGAATACACGCCATTCAAGAAACACACACACACACACACACACACAAGCAAAACAAAATAAAAAATGAGTTCATTACTCACAATATACCAAAAGTTGTTAAGAGATTTAACTCTCGACCGGTGATTTTGTTTCTTCAGCTGCCCAGATGTGTGTCGCACTTGCATCGATTTAACTGGATGGCGCCTAATAATAACAATAAAATTTGACAATTCGACAACAAACCAACAAAGAAATCTCCCATTTGAGTTAGCAGTCACTGTAGAAGGGTGTATCTTATTTTTGCCTACTTTGCAATGTTGAGTTAACATTTCCAAAGAGAGAAAAACAGAAACAGCTGCAAG